TACGGAGTTTAATTCCGCGGTACGCGCTCCCACTAAAGTCGCAATATCTCGAGAACTATTAGAGTCTCCACAAATTTTTTTTTATAAAATGAAAGGTGAAATTACAAGGAATCGATATTTACTTATTAGAAAATTCAAAAATTAGGCCAACTGAACTAAAAATTAATTCAAAAAATTTTTTTGACTTTTTTTTTGACAAATTTTGGAAATTTTTTTTTGTTCATAATATCAAATTAAACTACGTATTTTTAACTATATCGCCTGTAAATTTTATTAAAATCGATCAAAAAGTTTCAGAGTTATTAATTTTTGAAAAAAACGCAACACTCATTTTCAATATGGCGTAGCGGCCGCCATTTTGAAAATTTTTCAAAATCCTTTTAGGGTTAAATTTAATTCATATAAGACTTCTATTTCCCAAGGTTTCGAAGAAATCGGAAGACCACTTGCAAATCGCTTTTTTTCTGACGGAGTCTTACCCTTTTACAAAAATTTTAATGACTTCTAAAATACTGAATGCTTTTTAATGATTTTAGGCTTATTTTAAAGGTGCTTTTCTCCAGAATGAGAATTTTTTTTAGGCATTAACGTGTAATTTTTTATAGAAAATTCAATTCGTCAAACTTAGATTAAAAAAATTAAAAAATTTTTAAACAATCTTATTAACAGAAAAATAATTATTAAAATATAAACATATGTTTTTATTAAATTAAGATTTAATGTAAGGTTACATTAAGGTTTTATTTTGTGTGTCAAAGGACCAAGAGTAGGCGCGCAACGCGCGCCCTTTTGGTTCTAGTATTATTAATATTATTAAATATAAGTATATTTTTGGTAAATTTTTCTGTTTTGTATCTGTTTTGTATCTGTTAATCTAGTATCTGTTAATAGAGTATCTGTTAATCTAGTACCTCTTGACTAAATCTCTGTTTATCAAGTATCTGGTATCTCGTAATCACATGTTATTTTTAGTACATCTTTAATATTCATAAAGTTTTTTCCAAAATAATAACTAACTACCAAAATGTTAAAAAACAAAATGTTAAAAAATCAATAATTAAGATTTAAAAAAACAAATATCAATCAATATTAAATAATAATTATTACCACTATAATATAATTATGTACAAACATCAGAATTTAAAAAATCAATATTCTACATTTAGAAATCAAAATAACAGGCAAATGTCCTTTATTCCTTTAAACTTTAACTTTAAAACTTTAACTTTAATTAAATTAATGTATTTAACTTTAACCTTTAACTTTAATTAATAAAATTAATTAAATCCTTTAAATTAATAAAGCAAATAATTCACACATTATATTTACAAACTCTTCCTAATAAATATATATACAAATAATATTAACAAAAAATTTAATTTGTATTCACATGTATTTTAATTTTAATACTTACGTACGTAACGTATGCAATGTACTTTAACTTTTTTCAAATGTACAAAAAAATTGCAACTTTTTTCAAATGTACAAAAAAACAAAACTACAAAATTCACAATCAACACTTTCAGAAAAAAATCACTCAGGAAATAACAGCCAATACTTCTTATCGAAACGATACACTTGTCACACTTTGCAAATGGCTGACAGTTGCTGACACTTGTAATATTTTGTAATTTTTCATACCAACCAAAAAAAACTATGCGTTTCACACTGAGGTGAGGTTACGTAGCGAACAAACAATTGTTTGGAAAAAAAGACACTGGCATGGAACGCAGTATACTGCATGATTTCTATGCTTAAAATCAATGGTATCTTTATTTTTCAAAAACTCCAAAAGGATCTTTTTCATAAGAGAAAACAACTCTGATATCATAATTTTTATATATATATATATATATATATATTTTTAAAAAAATCTTTTAACTCATTAACGAATGGTAAGACGATAATGTTATTTTAATCAAAAGGTTCCTCAATGATGTTATTGTTATGAAAAATATTATCCTTTCTTAACCCATTAACGCCTGAAACCTTTGAAATTTTGTGTTTAATTTAAGATATAATTTTATATATTAAACATGCTCCCTAAAAATAACTGAAGCGTTTTTTTATGTTTTCGGGGTCGCTCTACAAGATTCCATGCTCAGATTTTAAATTTATCGCATAGAAAATTAAATATGGCGAATTTTGTGCACCAAATTGCGAAAAAAATGAATTTTTTTTTAAAATAATTATTTCTTACTGAAAACATTTTTTTCAAATGAATACAAGTGTCACAAATTGGCACAAACTTATTAAACTTTCAAAATATGCAATAGCGGAAACAAAAAAAACAAAATGGCGGCTTCAAAATGGTGCTAATTTGAGAAAAAATTAATTAATTTTTTTTATAGTGCACCGATTCAGGCAATAGCTATTAAGTGTAATAGAACTTAGTGTTTATATGTTTTTGAGGTCTCTCATCACGAATATGTACTCGAATTTCCAAAATTCAAAATGGCGGATCCAATATGGCCGACGAAAATTTTGAAAATTTACTCGATTCGCTTGAATTTTGTTACTCAGGGGTTTTTGAGGTCGCTGATTGTGAATCTGCAATCGGATTTTCAAAATTCAAAATGGCGGATCCAATATAGCCGACGAACATTGTAAAAATTCACTCTATTCGCTTGAACTTTGTTACTCAGGGGTTTTTGGGGTCGCTGATTATGAATCTGCTATTGGATTTTCATAATACAAAATGGCGGATCCAATATGGCCGACAAAAATTATTTAAATTCACTAGATTCGCTTGAAACTTGTTACTCAGGGGTTTTTGGGGTCGCTGATTATGAATCTGCTATTGGATTTTCAAAATACAAAATGGCGGATCCAATATGGCCGATAAAAATTGTTTAAATCAATTCTAGTCGCTTGGAATTTGTAAAATGATGACCTTCTATTTGCCGTCAGAATAAGACGTTTACCAACTCTCTAAATTATTCTAATGATATTAAAGCTAAAATTCGATAATATTGGTCAACTACTCCTTATCTGTCATCTCAAATTGTTTCATTAACAATGTCAGGTTATAAGTTTTGCAATATTAAGTCTTATGCTATGATAGTGTTGAAACAATTTATCTAAGCCAATTAGATTTAGACCTACAATTTTTTCGTTGTGTACTTCTGAGGGATTTGATTTGTATTTTGCCTTATTCTGACGGCAAATAGATGGTCATCATTTTACAAATTCCAAGCGACTAGAATTGATTTAAACAATTTTTATCGGCTATATTGGATCCGCCATTTTGTATTTTGAAAATCCAATAGCAGATTCACAATCAGCGACCCCAAAAACCCCTGAGTAACAAGTTTTAAGCGAATCTAGTAAATTAAAATAATTTTTGTCGGCCATATTGGATCCGCCATTTTGTATTATGAAAATCCAATAGCAGATTCATAATCAGCGACCCCAAAAACCCCTGAGTAACAAAGTTCAAGCGAATAGAGTGAATTTTTACAATGTTTGTCGGCCATATTGGATCCGCCATTTTGAATTTTGAAAATCCGATTGCAGATTCACAATCAGCGACCTTAAAAACCCCTGAGTAACAAAATTCAAGCGAATGGAGTAAATTTTTAAAATTTTCGTCGGCCATATTGGATCCGCCATTTTGAATTTTGAAAATCCGAGTACATATTCGTGATGAGAGACTTCAAAAACATATAAACACTAAGTTCTATTACATTTCATAGCTATTGCCTGAATCGGTGCACTATAAAAAAAATTAATTAATTTTTTCTCAAATTAGCGCCATTTTGAAGCCGCCATTTTGTTTTTTTTGTTTCCGCTATTGCATATTTTGAAAGTTTAATAAGTTTGTGCCAATTTGTGACACTTGTATTCATTTGAAAAAAATGTTTTCAGTAAGAAATAATTATTTTAAAAAAAAAAATTTCATTTTTTTCGCAATTTGGTGCACAAAATTCGCCATATTTAATTTTCTATGCGATAAATTTAAAATCTGAGCATGGAATCTTGTAGAGCGACCCCGAAAATATAAAGAAACGCTTCAGTTATTTTTAGGGAGCATGTTTAATATATAAAATTATATCTTAAATTAAACACAAAATTTCAAAGGTTTCAGGCGTTAATGGGTTAAGTGTTTGCATAAAGAATGTAATTCTTTCCAAAAACCTTTAGCATTATTATTGCATAGAATTCATTTTTTTAATAGGAGTAACATGTTCATTTTATCGTAGAAAACTTTTTCTTTTTCTTACGCTCTTTTACTTATAAAATTGTAGTAACATAAGTGTTATTATTTTTGTTATATCACATCTACATATTTAACATTATATTCAACAAATAAATATTTCTTTGAAAATTTAAACTTTAACAAAATAAAATAATCTTTGCGTTTTCTCAAAACAATTTCTTTATAATCACATTATTTAAATATTACTTTTAAACTTTTAAGTTATTATATTTGGTAAATTTCAAATCTTACGTAAAGTTTTGAATATTTACATTTTACGAATATTTATTAACTTTTTAAAATTTTAACGTTTCTTATATACATTATTTTCAAGAAAGAAAACTCATAATCTCTGCTGAAATCTTTAACTTTCTTGAATGTTTAATTCTTCTTCAATAATTTGTATTAACATTCGGTATACCCTCAGTTGTCGTGCGTCGTTCAATTTTTTAAACATTGGAGCTACACTTAGTAGAAACATGTCAACTTGATCGGGTTTATTTAATGTATGGGAACTGATCTTTTCCAATATGGCGTTTTGAAGATCGTGTTTCAAATTATCTGCATAAAATAAAAACATTAAAATATAAATTTGTTTATTATTATTGAATTAAGTTATTAAAGGCTTGTTTCTTAGTCTTCATGTAAAATAAAATTTTTAAACATGAGAATTATCATTCAATTTTTTTGGAAAATTATAAAAAAGGAAATTCATTTATTAGGTGAATTGTTTAGTTCAAAAAAAATAATTTGGTAGAAAAATAGAAAATCATTTAATATAATATTGTAGTTCACATTACACTCGATTCTTGTTATAACGAATCTCGTTACAACGTTCTCTCGTTATAACGAACATTAAAACTCTCGATACAACGACAAAAAAAACACGAACGAATTTAAGAATTTAATTTAACCAAAATTTTGGTTAACTCAAAAAAAACGACAAATTTAATCGACTCTTAAATTTATTTAACCTAAAGAATCTAGTGATCCGATTATTATTAAAAATACTTACTTTTTCTTTAAACTGATTTCATAATTCAAAAACTTTTAATATAAATAAACATACTTTACGAAAAATTTAGCACGTATTTGACGTTTGAATAGAACGTGAAGTAGGATCCTCTCCTTTCGTCGTAATATCGAGATTTTGAAGTCCCGAGATCGTCGTTATAACGAGAATCGAGTGTACTTGAAAATTGAACATAAAAAAAATAAAATTGATAATTATATAGCCATCTAACAAAAATTGCTTTCAGCCCTTCAATATGAAATTTCAACTTACGTTTACTTAATTTTCTCTTTTTTCCATTCTCGAAAGTTATTGTACTGTTCTGGACAACAATATCGGAGTTACGCACTTCGTCGATAGACCCACTTCTGCCTCTTTCTTGTTCGTCATTTGACCTGCAAATATTGCATTTTTAATATTATAAATACTAACAGATAATTTAATTATATGGTTAAATACTGAAATATTCTGTTGTTAAATTCTTACAGACTTACAATTAAATGCTAACAAATATTTTACAATTTAATGTCTTTTAATAATTTTAAATAATTTTAAATAATTTAATACACATGAGGTTTTACTTCACTTATTGCTAACATCTGTTTGAAACTTTCTTTGTCATTTACAAATACTTTATAATTTATTAAAAAGTGTACTTACTGAACGTTTTGAACGCCAGTGCATAACACCTGTGGTGTAAAATTGCTCTCACTTGATGGAGCTTCATTTTGTAAAGGTTCATCTCCATTTTCATGGTTGGCTCTAGATATGAACTTTTTTTAATAACTAAAAATTTTTCAACAAAGAAATAATTATAAATATTTAAGGAATGCATACATACTCGTCACATGTATAGTCGTCAAAGTATTTCATAATATTATAGTGTCGAAATTTTAAAGGGTCTACAGATCTTTGAAATTGGTCCCTTAAATTCTTCCACTCCTTCTTTGCAGTTTCTACATCATATCCTGTAAATATATATTTAACATTTATATTACATTATTTTAACTATGTATATATACAATTGAGACAAAAAATTTTTTTTGTGAGATGAATATTCAATAATTGTATTACATAATCGATAATAATAAATATTTTAACCTGGTAAGGAATTCGCCAGCATCTTCCATATATTTGACAAATTCTCTTTAGACATTTTTCTTCTTTCCTTACTACAAAACAGTGCAGGATAGTCTTTTATTTTGTGTAAGAAACGTAATTCCTTCGATAATTTTTGTCTTTTTTTTGAAATAACAGCTGTAGTTAACATTATAATATTAAGACAATTAGTAAAATAATAATAAACAATTCTAAAGGTAAGTTCAGAATGTAATTTTTCTAAACATCGAAGGGTATATTTCAATGCGTTACTTATTTGTCTAGAATAGTTCTAAAATATGTCGGAGTATTCTAAAAATTTAGAAAATAAATAAAATTAATAAAGAAAACAAATAATTTTATTAACTCACTCAAAGAAACTATACCATCATTGGAAATGATGATTCCATTACGGTCCTCATTATAACCTGCAAAGCAGGTATGGTTTAAGAGGTTATTAAACTGACAGTCGGGTATAACCCAACCACAGTTCCAGCATTTCTTGATTGGCTAAAAACAATAAGAATATAAAATATTTAAGTAAAATACCATCATACATTCATTACGAATGCTGCAAATTTCCAAAGACACGTTTTTTTTCTAACCTACAAATAGCATTTAAATGCTTTTGAAATATACTCCCAGCACAGTTTTACAAAAAAATATAATTAATATTTATAGAAAATTTTATTTTTACTTACAGGAACATTATCCTCTTCGACATCAGCCATAATAATAACTTATAACTTAAATAATAATTTAAATCCAAGAATACTATAGCACAATTCTACAAGACAACAATCACAACAATGCACCGAGCAAGATTTAAAATTTCAAGCACGTTGATCAATGACCAAAAACATATAGAGAGTCAAACGATTCTATTTTGAAAAATTACTAGAATCTAGTAAATTGCACTTTCCGCCTTTACGCCGACGCTATTACGCCCACATGGGACGGCACCTTAAATCTCTTCATTGCATTTTTGACCTCTTCCGGAGAGCTCGAAGCAGAAGGCATTCTGTAGAAAACAGTTTCCTTTGCAGAATTGAAATTCGTGGGCAAAGGAACAAGAGTTGGACGATTTATTTCCTGATTTTTATTTAAGGACCCCCGATTTGCAACATAACTTGATAACGCTGATAATGAAGCTTGTGTACCTTTCTGTGTTTCATTTTCAGGACTCATACTAAGATTTTGTAAAGTGTCCATTAAGGAACTTGTTTCTGTTGTTTGAGAGTTTTGATTATTTCGTGGGTTAGAAATAATTGTTAGATCTTCTAGTGTTTCCGATTTACTGTCAAGTGAACTAAGTCTAGAACTGTGATCTGAAATGCCTTGATTATTCTCGGTAGGATTATTTTTGGGTCTGATTTTTTCAGTCGATTGTAAGATCTCTTCAGCTTCCTGATAACCCACGCCATAGTCTGCCCTGATTTTCTGAATCTCGAATTCCCTAATATATATAGGACAAGTAGTAGAGGAAGCAGGGTGTCTACCTTGACAGTTGCAACAAACTGCTCTCCTCAAGCCGTTCTCGCATTTGTTGGGATCATCATGAGAGTCCTCACAATATAAACATCTCGGATACCTGGATCTACATTGGGATTCGACGTGGCGAAATCGCTGGCAAAAAAAACATCTAATAGGCTTGTTAGTAATAGGGGTTACTGGAAACTCAAAGGATGAGACCAAAATACTAGATGGTGGATCTTTACCAAAGAATCTAATATCTAAAGATTCGAGCATATGTTTATTAAAGGTAATCCTACGTCTAACTGATTCGATTTCTTGGACTACGTCTGGAGACAATCTAGTAATAAAATCCGCAACTGATAGAGAACAGTCTAGATCCTTAATGACACACTTTGAATATAGAAGAGTATTCGGTATATATACCTTGTAGAACCTAGAGGAAAGTTCGGTTGAATTAATCAGACAATTCGCGTCATCACGAGATTCACAAGTAATTTTGACCCTGTTTATACCACTGCGTTGGATTTTTCTTTTACCCTTGATGATGGTTTCTATCAGATCCGCGATGGCTATTGGGTTAAATTTCCCGATATTAAGTGTGTTGGTTTGACATTCCATCAACAATATATAAGGCGGGGGAGCTTTTTCGTCATACGACGGAGAAGGACGCGAGGTAGGGTTATTCCAGACGAGAAACTCGTCTGGATATAAATTTTGTTGATCCGGCGAATGTTCTTCTTGTGTATTCATGTTGTTTATAATTTTTGAAAAACTCAATTCAGTAGTAATTTTAATGTCATTAGAGATTAAAGAAAGAGAATCAATGTTAGATTCCAGAGACAGTGACATAGACCCGATTGAATGTTTGAAAGTTTTGCGATCATGTATCAATGACATATGGGACAGAAGTCTATTATCTTAAATTGAAAATTTTATTTTGTAGTGAATGGGAGAAATTGAGATCACCATCGACAATCCTTAAAAAAACCCTTTTATGAAAAATTTTTAATATTTAATTGTCCAACAACACTCGTACTGCTTTTTCTAAAAAAAACCGAACCTTCGTAAACTCGTTTAGAGAATTTTATTAATCGTGTATGGAAACTTAAAAATTTAAACCAAAACTTAGACAACTCTTGGTGATTGCAAACTCCACTTGATCTGGATTTCTACCAGTTTTGTGATCCGTCACCTGTGGATCATAAATTTATTTATTATATAATTTAGATTTTTGCTTAACTTAAAGAAATATTTTATTTTATAAATAAATAAAACATTACAATTCATATATTTCAATTCTCTTTAGTTGACATGATTTAGTAACCGGCAGGATTATAATTTAATATATTAACTCATGCATTTCGAATATAAAATTTTTCTTTTATTTCTAATTTAGTTTTCTGAATTTTATTCAAAAATAAGCAGTTTGGCTCAAATAGAATGTTTGTTAGTCTTTCAGTTTATATTATTTTGATTTGAAGGTCAGTTTGGACCTTTAGCTTTATTTATACATAGAGTCTTACCGGTTAAAATTTTCTTTTATATTTAATTTTGTAATATTGAACTTCCTTACTTTGGTTTTAATTTAATATTGGAGGATCATATAGTTGTAGATGGAGTGGAAATAGAAGGATTAACAATCAATCGATGCTTTTCAGTCCTTTGATTCATTTTAGTCCTTATAAGATGCTTTTATTACCGGTTCCAATTTGCCTCTTTGAGAATGTTGTTTTATTAAATCTCCGACCATGTGGGGTAAACGGTAATTGTTTATTAAATTTGCAATTCCTTTAGTCTTAGCACTGTATCAAGAATTCTTTTCTCACAAATATAATTATAATTTAATTATTTCAAAACCAACTTTATTTATTTAAGCCAATTTAAACTGACATGTGTCGAAAACAAGAGCGACGTTTAAACACGTCTTTAATGCATGACTGCTCGAACTGAACTCTGGTCCAGCTGTTATATTCTTAGCATTACATCACTTTCCAATTTTACATTTTACAACCGCGTTTCTGCATGAATTTAAACCATCTTTTGAATTTAGGTAATTAAGAAGATTCCTACTCGTTGTATGTTGGCCTATTTTGTAAAAAGTGTCTGTGTTTAGAGAAAAAGTGGTTGAAAAATGTTTATTTACCTATTTCACGTCATTTAAATCAGTCAGTGTCGTATTTTGTCGGGCGATAATTGTAACCTACAAATTTTACAGACCTTCCAACGCCGTTAAAACAAAAAAATGAAATAAAAATATAAAATTCGTATTGTGTTTTAAAAATATCCAACTACTTTTTTATACTTGTCAATGTATAGTTCATAGAAGGAGTTTACACCGTAAGCCTTAAATATAAGCCTCCGCGAGCATAAACAGATATGCCTCCATGAGGATATACTTGCGTCTGCGCAAAGTGTTTGCCTGCAGCTGTGTTGTGAAAGAGTTTGCCTTGACCACGTGTTCGCGCAGGCGCAAATATATGCTCCTGGAGGTATATCCGTTTATGCGCGCGGAGGCTTATATTTAAGGCTTACGGTGTAAACTCCTTCATACAGGGAAAACAATATAAATATTTTGTGAATAATTCTCACTCTAAATTGTGATAAATTATAAATTCTTATTACATCGAGTTATTACAAAAATAAGAATTATATAAATGTACGACTAAAATTTTTAATATTGTTTATTCAAATAATATATTAGATTTGAATTTATTCAAGTAAGTTGATAGTTTAGAACATATGTTCCATATGTCATAAAATTTGAGATTCCTAATATCATTTTTAGGCATAAGAAATACGTGTTCTTCACAATACTAATATTCGGATTAGATATAATACCAAATTTCAGTTTTAGTGATCTGCTTACATCTTACGTCCGATTTCAGTGATAGTTTATGCCTAAATTTCAGATTTAATCTTTAATTTAGAGATTAATTTTTTTCCGTGCAGTTAAAATTTTAGATATAATTGAATATTAAAAGCATTATGGCATGCATTTTTAAAAATAATTTATAATTGAATTCTTTTGAAGAATTTTAATGAAATTTTTGAAAATAATTACATTTTTCGAAGAATTTACTTAAAATTGTATAAAAAATAATTGAAATCCTGTGAAGAATTTTATTTATTTAATCAAAGTAATTGAAATCTTGCAATGCATTATTTCAAATTTTTGTTTAAATAATTGAAATAATGTAAAGAATCTTACCTATTATTTATGAAAATAATTGAATTCCTGCAATGAATTTTATTAAATTTTTTAAATAATTGAATTCTTTGAATAAAAATGTTCATAAATTTCAATTACTTTCAAAATCTTCGATTAAATAAGTTATTAAAGAAACTCCATTATTTGAAAAAAAATTCAAATGAATTTAATTAGGATTTTCAAAGATTTTAATAAAATTCTTCTCAGAAATTCAATTAGTTTCATAATTAATTAATAACATTTCACAAAAGAATTAAATTATTATAAGAAATTTTGATAAAACTCTTTATAAAAATTTAAATATTATTCTAATGAAGTTTTGCGTAAGAATAAACTTTTTTAAAAGATTTTATTTTAATTTTTTGCAAAAAATTTAATTATTTTGAAAATTTTGGATTTATTTTTTTGTAAAAATTAAATTATTGCAGGTTAAAAATGATAAAATTAAGTTAGAAATAACGCATAAGGAATATTTTTAATTGACAAAAATTTTGTTTAATTGCTTTTCTAATATTGAAAGCATTTTATTATACATTAGAATTTTCATTAATTTTAAATATTAGAATATTAAAAAGAATAATAAATTAATTATAAAAAAACTAGAGAACAAAATGCAAACAGAAACAACTAACTTCAAATTGCGAATAGATGTGAAGTCAAATTAAGTAAGGAAAAAAATAAAGTTTAGTTTAATGCTTATCTATTAACTTTCTAATTTAATATTTTCATTTTTAATAATTTATTTATTCTTATTTTTTGAAGATTTAATTAATAAATAATATTAGAAATTAAATTATTTATTGTAATGAGAAAATTCAAATATCTTTGCGAATCCTTTTTTAAATTATCCCGCCATTAGTGACGCCAACCAATGAGATCACTTGAAGCTTAAAAGGACCCGAAATATTCTTCCCTACACATGGTTGATTAGGTTAGTTGGTTAGGTTGTTTCTTTCTGCGTTGTGAACCCGGGTTCTACCCCCAGTCCCTCCAAATTTATTTTCAAAATTATTCTTCAATAATATTGATATTGACGAATAAATAAGTAATCAGTTCGCGGCATAAAATAAATAATAGAGAGAAATATTTTTTATTTTATTTTTATTAAATTTATAAATACTATTTTTTTA